TCAGGGGGGTTTATCTGAGCCATAGGGAGTATAATATTATTCTCCTAGCAGTAGCATCTGACTGATGGATCATTTGGATCGGCTAGCTGCAGCGGAGACACTGGTAGTAGAAGTGACACCAGTGAGGAATCATCCATAATCTTTGAAGGTACGTGATGGCTGGGATGACGACGTTCTCAGTGAATAGTTGGCGGTGAATTGTTGGAGTTGTTCCTTAGAATTGTTGGAGATACACCCCTGGTGCTAAGGCAATTTTTGTTCAGGGCCTTCTAAAATTTTGCGCCTTTGAGAACAACCACCACGACATCCTTGACTTGGCTTGATTGCTACTAGTTCTGCCATAACATCCTTGTGTTGTCTTGCATTGATCCTTGATTTGCGTCAGGAGGAGAGAAAATTGTGACTCCCCCTTAGAATGTGCAAGGTGTTGTTTGTCACTCGGGGAGTAAAGTAGAAAACTCCCCCTTGATATGTGCTTTCTTCGTTGTAAGGCACCAGAAGGAGTGAAAAAGAAACACTCCCCCTCAGAATAAGCACTTGTTGTTTCTTCTTGGCATGTGTTGGTGTTGAGGTGTGCATTTGTTGATTTTCTGCTTAGTGGGGCAGTATACACGCCAATACTCCCCTTAATAATGTGCACCAGTTGGTTGCTCACAGCTCGTCATATCCGCCATGTGTGTGGAGCAATCGGATCAGGTACCACACATGACGGCCCTGCAAAACAGATTAAGTGTGTTTTGGTACCCACCTCCAGATGGGTCCATCCTTATTAGTGGTGAAGAGCTGTTTTAATTTTTGTTTGATGTGGGAACCTAAGCCAGCTGATTGAGAAGGATTTGACGTTCTTAGTTTCTCAGCTTCGGCCTTAGGAACCCATTGTTGTTTGAACTTTGGAGCGAGAGAGATTTCGTTAACAGTGAGTGAATGTTCAGACAGATGATCTTTTAAAATTGTTTCCTGAGAGAGCCTTCTCAAATGTTTAAGTGAGCGAACCTTGAGGGGATACCTTAAACACGGCAATTTGTACTCTCCCTCAAAGTTCACCTTCACAGCAGTTGATTTCTTTGGGCATCTCTGAACATTCACATTCTTATCTTTGATGGAGGAGGAAGCAGGCTCAAAACAGCAAACTTTCATTGGCTTAACACAATTCAGAGAACACGTACTAGAGTAACGATTCTTGACAGATGTCTTAGAACTAGAAAACTTAGGAGCCACTCTTTTAGCATTACTAGTCGAGGATTCGCTTAGGAAATTCCTAGGAACACCACTTCTAGTATTACTAGTTGAAAGCTCACTAATGCCAGATCTAGACTTATTCTTTACGTAAAACAAAGCACTCGAACGTCGATTCTTATTTCCTAGATGAGATTCTTCTTGTTTCTTCCTCCTTCTTAACTTCTCCTCGATCCACTCTCCTCTCTTCTCAACTCTCTTCTTCACATGGTTTCCGGTCTGAGAAGGAGGCTCAGAGTGAGTGGAAGAAGTTTTAGAACTGTTTGTTGAATTTTCTAAACATTTTTCTGAGGAAGAGAGGGAAGAAGGTTGAGAAACTGTGATGGATTGAGAGGATGTTTTTAACATGGATATCTCTTTCAAAAGTTGATCTTTTTCTTTTTCTAAAACCTGTTTCTCCTTTTCAAAAGATTCTTTTAACTCAGCAAACTTTCTCACAAGAGGTGGAATGTATGCTGGTTTGACTACAGGTTCTGAAGTTGAAGGTTCCTCTCCGTCTTGCACAGATTCCTTTTTAGGAGCATAAGTTATGACTTCATCAGCAGGTGTTAGCGGGGGTTCTTTGGTTTTGTAACTCTTGTTCAACTCTGTGTAGTCAAAAGGAACCTCGACACCAGCCTTTGTCTTTCTCTTTTCGTCCTCGAGGGCATTCGTTTCTTCAGCTCCAGTGAAGGCCATGAGTTTGGTCAATCCTATTTTCATGTATCTAACATCATAGAGTTGTCTACAGTTAACCTTTTTCAGGTTCTGAGGATTGGTCAAACCCAGGCCCTCCTTGGCGTTATAGAAACGAGTGTCCTTAGGCTGGTTAAGGAAAATAGTCTGGTCTGTTTGGTCCCTCTTGGCTAACAGGTCTTCGAGTTCTTTAATCTTAGTGTAAAGAGCACCCCTTCTTTCCATAAGTAAATTATTGACACCTAAAAGTCTAATTCTCTCTTTCTCAGCTGTTCTAAGCTTCTCTGTCAGTTCTTTTTCGCTAGCACTAAGTCTCTTATTTTCAGTTGTGAGCTTAGTGATGATTTTCTCTGAATTGATACGTAGTCTGTTATACACACTAAATCCCGTATTAAGTTTTTCTTCAAGCTCCTTAATTCTATCGTGTGGGTCAGTTCTAGAGCAAGTATAAGTAAAAGGATTAGCAGTGCTTACAGCGCTGTCTGCATTCTTGTTTTTAGCAGAGAGGGCAGTCACTTTATCAGCAGCGGTTGGGGCTGCTGATTGTTGTTGAATGTTGATCGTTGACGTGTGGTTGATTGAAGTTTTTCTGCAGGTTAGTGGCTCTTGAAAATGTAGCTTTGACTTTGAGAAAAATTTGTCTTAACCTTGAGATTTTTTGACTTTTTTTTTATTTGATTTTTTTTTAATTAATTTTTTTTTATCTCAAGGTTGACTACTTGAAGCTTTGACAAAGTGTAGACCTTTGGTTTTGGAGTTTGACCACAAGGTTTGAATTGGGCTCAAAATTAGCTCTTGAAGTGGGTAAGTGCAAAAAGTGTACTCTTCCAAGGGAAGGGAAAAGTAAGCTTGTTAACTTATCCCACACCTAAACTCCAAGAGACTTTTGGAGCCTATATATATGGAGCACTCCTTCCTTAAGATTAAATGGTGAAGGAAAAGAAGGGAGCTCTCGCGCACATGAGATTTCAACTCGAAGTTCAAAAACGAAAATTCGCACCCCCCCCTGCGCGGGCGACCTGCGGACACGATAGCCGCAAAATTTGTCGGGTCTCAAAAGACGGTTTTGCCCTTCCCCTTATTATTATTTTTTTTTTTTTTGCTTGGGCGCTCCTTAAATGTAACCAAGAGGAATCGCGCAACAAAGTCACAATCGCGCAATACTCGCAAGCCGGAATCGCGCAACAGAGTATCCGGATCGCGCAAGAAGAACGGGAAATCGCGCAGGCCTTATCGCGCACAAACTGGAAAATCACGCAAGGGGACTGCGATCGCGCAGGAAACTGAAATCGCGCAAGCCCCTTCTCGATTTTAAGATCGCTCAACTCTCGATGTCACGCAAAAGTCCAAATCGCTCAACTTCCAAAATCTCTCAACTTTGAAATGGGGCAACTCCAAAGATCGCTCAAGTCAAGAGATCGTTCAAATGGAGGATCGCTCAACTCCAAGATGGCGCAAGGAGTGTTGCGCGAAGCTGAAATCGCGCCGGAGCTGTTTTGCGCTAAATATGTTCTTCTTTTCAGCGAGTTGCGCGAAATTGCAGAATCGCTCTAGTCCAGCTTAACCTGTACGCCAACTTTCTGGGCGAGATTTTTCACAGAGCAGATCCTTGCAAGCCTATAAACACTTTCCTGTACACATTTTCCTGCAAAAATGACAGCAAAAACAGTATAGAAAATCGCGCAAGAAGCAAAAACTTCTCCGAAAAGTTTCGCGCAAGAGTTTTCTTCTGTCTTCAATCGATCGAAAAATTTGCAGAAGCTTCAATCGGTCACACGCTTGGCTCTGATACCAATTGTTGGTCCCTATTTCTACTCTATAATGTATAAGATCTGATTAATAGGAGTAGAAGAAGCTTTCCATTGATAGCCATAAAGTTTACACAAAGATAGTGAATATGTAGCGTAAAACTTCCGTAGGCTTCTAATCTATGCGTAGGGAATATTTCTGAGGGAGGAAAGCTTAACCTAGCCATTCCTAAGGGGTCTATTTATAGCCTCCTTAGAATGGTAGGTTTTACAATGATATGGGCTCTCCTTTTTAGGAGGCCCATTCCTAATTTAGCTTAGTAGCCTTTTTCATTTAAGGCCTATTAAATACACAATAAATACTACCAAGAGGCTAGATAAAATACATTGATCACAACACTAAAAATATCTCTAACAACTCCACCTCTTGGAGAATAGAAATACAATAGCGACAACACATATTGTTTAGGAGTAACCGATATGAACTCCAAAATTAACTCAGATTGTCCTTGTAGTAATTCCACTATATGGAGTTAGCGCAAACTATTAGGTGACACATATCTCCTACTTTTTAGTGTTGGAACTACCTTCATGAGATCTTCTTGAACACGCTGTTATGTACTTATGTTAAGCAAGTAAACAGAGAAACACACTATTTCCTAGAGTTATTCCACCACTTAGAGAATGGTGATACAGTAGCGAGATGCCATATTGATTTGGAGTAACTTGTGTGAGCTCAAAAATGAATCCTGGTTGTCTATGTAATAGTTCCACTTTGGAGATAGTGCAAACTATTAGATGGCACATTTCTCTTACTTCATAGTGTTGGATTGTGCTAACTCCAAAATCAATACAGATTGTCGTCTATGTACTAATTCCACTTTGGAGATAGTGCAAGGACACATTTCTCTTACTTCATAGTGTTGAAAGATTATCTTCAAGAACTATGTTCTGTTTAGTGGAATTTAAGTGCCAATTGCTTAATATGTATATAGATTTAGAATTAGATACGTATATAATAGGATATTTTTAAATCAAAATTCAATTTCAATTCATGTATTCCTTAAATAATACATACGGAGTATTTCTTTAGTATAAAAATTAATTTCTGAAATATATTGAATAGGTTTAATGTTATATTTTAAGTGAAGTTATAAATCCTGGATATTTATACATTAAATATTTTAGTATGGATGTCCAGTACTTCCGTTAGTTGAACGTTATTTTTATTAGTCTTTCTTTTTTACTTGAATGTGTACACCTCAAGTTTAAAATAGATTGATAGAGTATATAGACTCGGACCCCCGGGCCTCACGACTGTTGGGCCCGGACAACGGCCCACATACGCTCAGTAGATAGCATTTATCTCATTGTACACTCTATTTTATTCATGTATATCCATTAGAATAGATTAGATACCATTTATTAGCCATTTATTGGCCTTTTATTGTAGTTGGGCCTTCCAGACCCAAACCTGGAAGCCCAACCCTCTTTTCTCCTATAAATACTCCCTATGGGAGCCATGTAAAAGGATGGGGGAATGGTTGATTGGAATTCATTATACATATCACTTTCTCTCTCTAGCTCTCTCTTCTCTCTAGAATTAATACTCTATCATTTGGTGCTTTCATTGAGAGTCAGAATATATCAAGTGAGATCCTCCCAGCCAAATATCACAACACGTAAACTATGCATGTGGTATCACTTCGGCCCTAGTAGAGGCAATATGAACTCCTCGGCCAAAAGTGAATCACTCCTCCCATCTGCCAAACAAAAGGAAAAGCTAGCAAGTTGGTGGGACCCTAAGCCCATGACCCTCATTAAAATTCACGATTAACCAAAGGGGTACTCTTCGGCTATGTCACCTCTTCTTGCACGTGGTGTACGCTCCTCGGCTCAAGGGAAGAACTCCCAAATAGCACGTCGGCCAAGAACAACTAAAACAAGAGGAAAAGCCAAACAAAGAGATGGTGGGACCTCCGGCAAACTGCACCGGCCCCATCAACACTACGGCCGGGACACATCGGCCAAACAACGACGAAGACACCCCACCGGTCGGCAACGGCACCGGTCAGCAACTGCATTAGCCATCAACACATTACGGCCAAGCAAAGCTTCGCTATGTTCTGTCAGCCAAGAAAGGGTCACCTCGTCCGAGAGATCACCTTCGGCCACAAAACCTCGTTGGCTTGCTCGCATCAGCCTCACATCGGCCGGCACACCACACCGGCCAAAAAGAAGGACGCCCCATCTGCTGGCAACCTGCTTACCAAAGAGCTGCGCTTCCTCCCCTAGCGCGCATCAGCCGGCTCTCACCTCCAACTTGGCAGAAATAGCCGAAGTTCTGCACCACTTCGGCCAAAGAAAGCCCCTCATTCCTCAACTCTGAGGAGCCAGCACTGTACCAACAGCTGGCAGCGCATCATCAGCCAATAGCACCTTCGGCCGGCATTCCCATCGGCCGGCACCCCACACAACGGATGGGACCACATCGGCCACCCGCATCGGCCGCAACGCATCAGCCGGCTCCTCATCGATCGGCTCTTCATCGGCCAACATTCATCGGCTGTCATCCATCGGCCGGCACCACTTCGGCCGGCAACACATCGACGCACCGCAACGCCAGGCACTGCTTCGGCCGCGCACTGCACCGGTCAAAAAGAGGGACACGGCATCGTCCGGGACCGCATCGTCCAAAACAGGGCCGCCTTGTCAAGCCACCTCATCGGCCGGACCGCATTGCCGGACCGCATCGGCCAAAACAGGCCACCTCGTCAAGCAACCGTATCGTCTGGACCGCATCGGCCAAAACAGGGACTCCGCTCCAGATAGGCTCACTTCGGCAAAGCATCCACCTTCGGCCAGAGTGAAGGTAACCCCCTCGTCCATAGCTCCACATTACGTACGACGTGGTACCGCCTCGGCCCTGGCTGCGGCAGCATGCTCCCTCGGCCTAGAAGCAAAACATAGGCCAACACTCTACTCATATAACCTCCTGCTACACCTTCGGTCAAGGTTATGCGAATCAAAGGAAAATGACAAAAGGTGAGGGAGCGTGGCAGGCTACGGATCAATTCCAACATCCAGCAGCTCCCATCGGCTCCAATTCACAGACTCTTCAACCAAATCAGGAACTCTGGGTCACCTCTGCCAAACAGGACCTCCGTCCAAACCTGCAAAATCAGTCCCCATCGGCCATTGGCCTCGCCTCGGTCAAAACCCGGCGGCCGGCGACACATCGCCTCACCCAGCCTGCCTGACGAACTGATGCGTCGCCTCAGGCAGTCTCTTCGTAAAAGCAGGTCGGTTTGGCGGAGATCTCTGCCCCTTTCATCGGCGATTGCAGCAGGCGGCAATCCCCATGGCATCTGGCGAATAAGTCGCTTCGTCTTCTTCTCCGCGTTCCTCACAAACAAAGGACGCACCGTCTCCTTCTCTGTATTCCTCGCAAGCGAGCTACGCTGGGCTAAAAACTCAAAATCAAATCAGCAACGGGCCAGCTATTTAATCTCAAAGGCTGGACTTCTCAAAGAGCAGGCCCAATCTTGTATTTCCCTGCTTTAATACTAAGCAGGGCAGGCTTCGGCCCAAATACAAGTAAGTCTCACAAACTTTTCCTCCTATTTTATGCATTAAATATGGAGCAAAATAGTTTACCACTATTCAAAAAAAAAAAAAATAGTTTTACTACTATTAAGAAAAAATAGTTTTACTAACTATTCAAAAGAAAAACAATAATAATAATAAAAATAATAATAATAATAATAATAATTACTACCGTTATTATTATTATCACCGTTGCTAGCGGATTAAATTCTCCAATTGGTGCGGGCCAAAGCCTTAACCTTCCGAACGTCTTTATTTGATGATTCGGATTATATTTGGGTCCCTTGACCTACCATGGTCATCTTTATTTGATGACCCGGACATCTAGAATGAGAGCCATCATCGGCCGTACACAGCATTATGCCTAGAAGCGGTACACCTCATTCCCCTACACGCTAATTGCGTCATCCAAAAGCCGTTGCAATAAACAACGCACCTAAAGCCGTCGTAATAAACGACGCACCCAAAGCCGTTGCAATAAACAACGCACCTAAAGCCGTCGTAATAAACGACGCACCCAAAGCCGTTGCAATAAACAACGCACTCAAAGCCGTTGCAATAAACAACGCACCTAAAGCCGTCGCAATAAACGACGCACCCAAAGCCGTTGCAATACACAACGCACCTAAGGCCGTTGCGATCCACAACGCGCCTACAAAGCCGTTGCAATAAACAACGCACCTAAATATCGTATCGGCACAAGCGGTGAAACACCCAAATCGGCCGGCGATATGCAGGACGAAGGACCTGTGTGCATGGTCCAACGTCTTCAAACGGAGAAGCATACCGCGTCGTCCGCGCGGAAACCGCAGGACGACAGGCCTGAATTAAGGCTGAGGTTACAAAAACTCCACCCGTCAGTAAAATTTCGCTCAGGACCACAAAGGGCGGCCGTCAAAAGACGATGCCTAGTCCGGTCCCTCGTCGCCGATAGACGTGGAAAGGCAAAAAAGGATGCCACTGACACACCAAGCCGAGGGCGTATTTACTCCCTCGCACTAACACACGCGAAAAGCGTAGCGGACAAAATACCGCACATGGACGAAGGGACAGTAACCCTTCGGCCATCCAAAAAAAAAAAAAAAAAAAAGAGGGAAGCCGACGGACCGCGCACTTACCGGCCTCGAGCAATAAAAATAAATAAATTCCCCAAACTTATTATTCATCTCAAGACCGGCTCCCAATGCCGAAGCTCTTGCTCCATCAGCTTATGAACGGCCTCCCCAACGCCGTCATACTTTTATATGACGATCGGCTCATCATCGCCTCGTCATCATTATTCGGATCGGCTCATCCTCATCGCCATCCGCACATCACGACCGGCCTCCCAGCCTTGGTGTGATTATTTCTTCTCAGAGACCGGCTTCTCATCGCCAAGTGTCCTGAGCTAGCGACCGAGCTAGCTATTCCCTTCCGGGATAGCAACCGTCGCCTCTATATGACGATCGGCTTCATCATCGCCTCGTCATCATTATCCGGATCGGCTCATCATCATCGCCATCCGCTCATCACCACCGGCCCCCCGGCCTCGGCGTGATGCTTTATCTCAAGACCGGCCTCCCCAGTGCCAAGTGTCTTGAGCTAGCGACCGAGCTAGCTATTCCCTTCCGGGATAGCAACCGTCGCCTCTACATGACGATCGGCTTCATCATCGCCTCGTCAACATTATCCGGATCGGCTCCTCATCGCCATCCGCACATCACGACCGGCCTCCCAGCCTTGGCGTGATTATTTCTCCTCAAGACCGGCTTCTCATTGCCAAGTGTCTTGAGGTTGCAATCGGGCTCGCCGTCCCTTCCTGGATGGTGACCGTTGCCTCTATATGACGATCGGCTTCATCATCGCCTTGTCATCATTATCCGGATCGGCTCCTCATCGCCATCCGCACATCACGACCGGCCTCCCAGCCTTGGCGTGATTATTTCTCCTCAAGACCGGCTTCTCATTGCCAAGTGTCTTGAGTTGGCAATCGGGCTCGCCGTCCCTTCCTGGATGGTGACCGTTGCCTCTATATGACGATCGGCCTTCACATCGCCTCGTCATCATATGTTGGACCGGCTCATTATCGCCGTCGTCCTTACATCGCGTCCGGCCTCTCGGCTAAGGCGTGATACCTTATCTCAAGACCGGTCTTAGTCATCCCTTCCCGGATGGCGACCGTTGCTTGGATCTTCGGATCGGCTCATCATCATCGCCATCCGCACATCACGATCGGCCCCCCGGCCTCGACGTGATGATCTAACTCAAGACCGGCTCCCTTAGCGCCAAGTGTCTTGAGCTAGCGACTGGGCTTGCTATTCCCTTCCGGGATAGCAACCGTCGCCTCTACATGACGATCGGCTCATCTCCGCCTCGTCATCATCATTATTCGGATCGGCTCATCATCATCGCCATCCGCACATCACGACCGACCTCCCAGCCTTGGTGTGATTATTCCTTCTCAAGACCGGCTTCTCATCGCCAAGCGTCTTGAGTTGGCAATCGGGCTCGCCGTCCCTTCCTGGATGGTGACCGTTGCCTCTACATGACGATCGGCCTTATCATTGCCTCGTCATCATATCTCGGACATGCTCCTCAGCATCTTCGTCCTCACATCACGATCGGGCCCTTCGGCCACGACGTAATGCTTTATATCTCAAGACCGGCTCCCTCAGCGCCGAGTGTCTTGATCTAGCGATTGGGCTTGCTATTCCCTTCCGGGATAGCAACCGTCGCCTCTACATGGCGATTGGCCTATCATTGCCTCGTCATCATACATTGGACCGGCTTATCATAGTCGTCATCCTCGCATCGCGGCCGGCCTCTCGGCCAAGGCGCGGTACCTTATATCAAGACTGGTCTTAGCCATTCCTTTACTGGGTGGCGACCATTGCATGGATTTTTGGGTCGGCCCCTCAGTGCCGATCATGGCAGGCCCTCGGCCTCGACGTGATCATATTCCCCAAGACCGGTCTCAGTTATTCCTTCATCGGAGGGCGACCGTTGCTTGGACGTTTGGCTCGGCCTCATAGTGCTGACGACCTCGCATCACGATCGGCCCCCCCGGCCTCGACGTGATGCCCTATCTCAACACCGGTTTTGTCAGCGCCAAGTGTGTTGAGCTAGCGATCGGGCTCCCCATCTCTTCCTGGATGGTGACCGTCGCCTCTACATGACGACCGGCTCATCTCTGCCTCGTCGTCATTATTCGGATCGGCTACCCATTATCGCCATCCTCATGTCACGACCGCCGCCCCGGCCTCGGCGTGATGATCTATCTCAACACCGGCTTCATCAGCGCCGAGTGTGTTGAGCTAGCGATCAGGCTCGCCATCCCTTCCTGGATGGTGACTATCGCCCCTACATGGCGACCGACTTACCATCGCCTCGTCATTGTTATTTTGGATCGGCTCCTTATCACGGCCGTCCTCACATCACGATCGGCCCCTAGGCCACGATGTGATGCCCTATCTCCGAGACCGGCCTCTCATTGCCGAATGTCTTGGGTTAGCGATCGGGCTCGCCATCCCCTCCTGGATGGCGACCGTTGCCTATATATGATGATCGGCTCAGCATTGCCTCGTCATCGTATCATCAGACAGGCGTCCCACGCCCCGTCCTCATGTTCAGACAGGCGTCCAACGCCTCGTCCGCATATATTCAGACAGGCGTCCAACGCCTTGTCCCCACATTCAGACAGGCGTCCAACGCCTCGTCCTCATATTCAGACAGGCGCACAGCACCTCATCCTCATATTCAGACAGGCGTCCAACGCCTCGTCCTCATGTTCGGATCTAGCAAACATCTTGCGGTCTCCGGCTTAGAGACTAAAGGATCTCAGATCTCATCTATAGGCCCCTCGGCCACATCTTGCTCTAGCATCTTTATTTGATGACGAAGGGCTCTCATACAGGCCCATCGGCCATATATCTTGCTCCGTCATCTTTATTTGATAACGAGAAGCTCATCTATAGGCCCCTCGGCCATATACCGCTCTGTCATCTTTATTTGATGACGAAGAGCTCATCTACAGGCCCATCGGCCATATACCACTCTGTCATCTTTATTTGATGACGAGGAGCTCATCTACAGGCCCATCGGCCATATATTATTCTGTCATCTTTATTTGATGACGAAGAGCTCATCTACAGGCCCATCGGCCATATATTATTCTGTCATCTTTGTTTGATGGCGAAGAGCTCATCTACAGGCCCATCGGCCACATATCGTTCTGTCATCTTTATTTGATGACGAGGAACTCATCTATAGGCCTCTGAGCCATATCTCGCCCCGTCGTCTTTATTTGACGACGTGGAGCTCTTATGCAGGCCCCTCGGCCATACATCGCCCCGTCGTCTTTATTTGATGATGTGGAGCTCTTATCCAGGCCCCTCGGCCACACATCTCCCAGTCATCTTTATTTGATGACGTGGAGCTCACATCGGCCCATCAGCCTCATATTCTGGTCATCTTTATTTGATAAACCAGACATCATATTATGGACGGTCGCTCGACCCATCCCTTAGTCATCTTTATTTGATGACTAGGACTACTGATCATGACGAGCTACCCACATCTATGGATCGGCCTCTGCCATCCCCTCGGCAGACGGACACCGCTGCAGCTCCACTTCTAGGCCGAAGGGCTCGCACCTTTTGCTTCGTTTTGGGGGCATCCGGTGTACTCTTTTTCCCTCATTAGGATTTTTTCCCACAGGGTTTTTCCTAATGAGGTTTTTAACGAGGCATCTCCCCATTGTGGATCAAAAGGTGTCAACCCTCGGCCCCCTGTTGCAGACATCATCAGACATGCACTACTCTACTCCTCTTCACCTCGTTACACTCGCCTCAAGGAGTGGGGGACTGG